GTTCCGGGGTAAATTTTAGAAAGACAGATGAATTTGAGATAAGAAACTACCCAGAGATTTTGCTCTCTTTTTGCGAAAACTTTATTAACTGAGTTCTGGTTTCCTATAGGCGCAAGCCCCTATAATTTCCTCCCGATCACAAGAGACAACATTCAATTAAGGCTAGTCGTCGATCATATATATAGAGACATGTGTTATCTAGCATATAGTAGCTGCATGGGTATAGGAATTGAAAGTTTGAAATTTTGATATTGTATCATCTTGCACTTAAAGCGGATGGTGAGGGAATGGATGATGGACCCAATCAAGATCACATGGTTCCATCGCCCCGGGTCATCGTAGTCTCTGGTAGACTTAGTCAGAGGAGGTAGTCGACCCAACCTGACAAAAGGATTCTTGTCGGCAGCCATGGGTTGCTTCGCCCAAGGGTACCTTGTAGCCCTAGGGGGGTGTTTGTCTAAAGAGACAAATTTGAATCCACCTTAGCTAACTGAGGGCTTTGTGCCCTGTCAATTATATCATATTGATTCATATCTCAAGGATTTGATGCCACTAAGGAACGTATTGGCTCTGACCATAACCGTAATTTAGTGGTGCCATTTGGCGGCAAAACTACTCGATTTAGAGGGCCCCTTGTCATAACTATTTATCTTGTGGTGTCATTTGGTGGCAAAATCGTCGGTCAGAGGACACATACCACGTCCTCACTGACAATAGATTATTTGAGAATGAATCATAGTAATATTTTTGACTGGGCATTAGCTCTTTGTGAGCTAAAATAGTTTTCAATTTATCCACCTCAGCAAATCGTTGTGAAGGGTGAATAGGTTTTGTTTTAAGTAATTTGATGCATTATTTCAAATTTAAATATATTGGATTTGGATGAATTCGAGATTTTTGGACTTTCATGTATTTGGGATGGCATTTGAAAGTGTTTATGAACCCTTTTTCGGTTGAGATTTTTTCTATCATCGCGGCCATCATCCGGATGCCATGGAGTTATTTTCATTTGTGGATTAAACCTTGCCAACTCTGTCAAGCTGTTGACAGAGGATTGAGTTTTGTAGGCTCTATATTTTATTAATGAACTTCTATGTTTGTAAGCCTTAAAGGCCTTATATGAATGTATAAAACATATATTTCGATCAACACTTTGACCGTATATTTATTTGATAGTTCGAGCATATTGACTCCTATCTATCTATATAGAGGGATCGGGTTTGAATTATGTTCATTTATTGACCCGCGCAGCATCCTTAGACATCATGTGTGTATCCAAAATACTCTTGTAGGGGCCCATACATATTGTGTGATTGCACATGCCATTTTATATACCTATGTATACAAATTACGGTGCATGTGCTGATACATTCTTGTAATATTTTTGACACCGATCAATTGTGTGGGTGACCGCCATTAGAATGCAGTGTTCTGTTTGGATGCTCGTACATGCCTTCTATCCACTTATAAGAATGTTACATATCCGATGACATGGCGTTATACTGAATATCAGCAATTTCATACAGGAAAACTGTCGTGCACTGCTTGTCATTTTCTACAAGTAAATAGTTATACACTAACGAATCTCCGATTTAAGCTTACAGATGTCGATATATGTTACAGTTCTTTTGTATTCACTTGTAGACAACGTGTAATATGTCTCCTACAATAGCTCGTAGGAGCTCGCAATTGTTATAGTCTTCCAACATTTTTCATTGATATTAATTAACAAAAATCGTGGAAAGAAAACTCAAGATATTAATTAACAAAAATGATAATGATGTTAAATATGCTAACTAAAAATGATAAATAATATTAAGAACAAAAAATAAATAAAGAAAGAAAATCTACTGTTTGGGTTTGGATTGAGTTAGTGAGTTTTGGTTGTAGAGCTGCTTTAGAGTGGTTTATTTTAGTGGATTGGTTCAGATAGCGTAATAGGGCTGAATTGATTGAGTTATTAGTTTGCTGTGGAGTTATAAGAGGGAGTATAGGCTAAGTAGGAGTCACTATGAGCTGCGGATTAAAGCCTAAAGTTGTGGTACAGTGAAAAGAAGAAGTGGGGTCTTGCAGGTTCAATTTGTGGAGGAATCAAGTGAAAGCTGAAGGCCAAGATCAGATAGATATAGATCCCGCTGGCTGACGGGAGAAGGCAAGGCCAGCGGGATCTCTTCGCAGGAAGGTGTCGAGTTTGGTATAGTCATCGTGGAAGGAGGAAGCTCCGGCTAGTTGGAGTTGGTCGCGATATGGGTCGGTGAGTGCTAGGTGTTCGGATTGAAGCCCGCAGCTTTGCGAGAGTTTGGACGTGTGTTTTGGTTCGGAAGAGGTAGAGATGGTCGAAGCTAGGTGTCGTTGAGGAGGGAGGTCGAGTATGCTTGCGATTGAGTCTTTCGATGGCTGCAGGTCGGTTGGGTCTAAGGAGGCTTGCGAAGTGGAAGGAAGAAGAATTTCGGAGGAGGTTGGGTTGGCTTGCGAGCAGATAAGGGAATATGGAAGAAGATACGAAAGCTTGTTCTCATCTCCCTTTTATTGATCGAGATCGAGGTGGCAAAATCACGGGATTCCCTTTGCTTGATTTAAGTAGATTTTGTGGGATTTCAACTGGGTTTTGAGTGGGGTTTTGGGATGTTTGTCCAGAGCACAAATGCTATCATTATCTAATTCAATATTCAATAATAAAAATATAATTATTAGATACCAAACATATTTTTATTTTGTATTAACATATAAATAAAACAAAACAGAAAATAGCAAAAAAGAAAGTGATGCCAAACAACACCCATAATAAATTATGAATTTGGCAAACGGAGGTTTGTGGAGCTACTCCTTTATGTTTTAAAGGAGAAATAATATCTTTATTTTTTATGATCATTCATACATATGCAACTTACGCTTCGTTTGAGATGGCTTTTTTACTACTTAAAGAGGCTTTCTAATACATAATGTTTAATTTTTAAAATAGAAAGCTGATTTAAGAAGCAGTAAGAAAGTCATCCCAAATGAAGCCGTAGTGTTTGAAAAAATAGACTAGCTAAAAATCTTTAAGAATTATAAAATTGAAGAAAAATAGTAGGTGGTATGAAGTTGTTGTCTCAATATTAAATGCCTTGAAGACCCAATCAATATAATGAGATGAAAAGGAGAAGTTGAACACTATTGTTGAGAAAATTCTTAGTCATTTATGTCAATGTATACTCATATCCATCTTTAGAAGCAATCATATATGTTTTGTTTGGGTATTTAGGTCAATTAAGTCAAACTCACACACACATCACATGTGCAAGACTCAAACTCAAGACCTCTTGATTGGTAGCTAAAGCTCTCAACCAACAGACCAAAATGAGCTGCATATTATACATGTTTAACACGAAACTACTAAAGTTGTCATAAGGGCTCATTACGGGTTGCGGACAAATAGACTATGTTGCTTAACTTTCATGCTTGTTTGAGAATGTCTAACATAGGCTCAATTGCATAATCGACATGGAAAAGCATTTGATACATTGTTTATCCACAAAATTCAAGAGATTAAGGTTTTGTTTGATACGGCTTTCTTATTGCTTCTTAAAACAACGTTTTAATACAAAATTTTGAATTTTTGTACTCAAAAAATATTTTAAGAAGCAGTAAGAAAGTCGTCCCAAATAAAATCTAAATTGGGAGATTTACACCTAAAGTTAGTGAGGTAGGAAAGTAAGATTTCTTTAGAATGAAGATAACAATGAGCCAAAATTTATGCCAACACATTTTAGTTGAAGAGTTAAATGACTAGACACAAACCTAACGATGAGAAAAAGCTGCAATATTTATTGGGTTTTGCATTCCATTTCAAGGGCACTAACATAAATAGAATATGCAGGAGAACAAATCCAAATTAACAAGCCTTTACATGGCATGGATTAGAGAGAACCTGCAACTATGTACAAGAATATGGAAAGTCTATCTTTCATTTATTTTATGAGGTGTATCTTCATAGAGATATAGTCATAGAGATTATCGTTTTAACAAGTTTTGAGAAATGAGAGTTCATCATATTGGTTTGAAACAATGAAACAAAAGCTAGTTTATGAAAAAGAATCAAATTTGGAGTTTTGTTCCTTAGTCTTAAGGAATTATGCTCAACAGTTATTTACAGGTCTTTGAGATCAAAAGAAACTCTACTGATATGGTTGAATGGTACAAAACTAGTTTAATATTTGTAACTTCATTGATTACGAGGAAATCTTTGCTCCAATATTATCTAAAAACTCTATAGAATAGTCATTAGGTTGTATATTTTGATCCTGAGCTTCATCAAGCTTTCATTATGAAATCTATGACGAACAAACAAAACTTTTAATAATTGAAAAAGAAAATCTCCTATGCTCAAATTTATACAATTATATTATGGACTCAAACAAGCATCCGATTAAAGGTTTTCAGCTGTTATGAAACTATACTGCCATTTGGATTTAAACTTATATCAATGTGCATACCTAAATATCATTGGGAGTAAGTTCATAGTATATGTTGATGACATATTACTTGCTACTAGTAACTTGAGGCTGTTATGTCTAAAAAGGGATTAATTATTCTGTGTGGACATCGAACGTCATCTGGAGACCAACCAGAATGCGTCACGTCATCCCTTCGTTGTGTATCGCGGCTCGGTACTGCTGACGTGGCTGCACCTGATTCGTCTTCGGATGTAGAGCAACGTTCGGCCTCCGCACATAATAATTTCTCCTTAAAAGGAAAACAAATCATGACATCAATATTGCTATGTAACCCATTTCATAGATATCAATGTGCTCTACCAAAAAACTATAATTTTATTTATAAATATGACATAGCACCAAGTCCAGTTCAATGTAGTATAACTAATCTTATAGCTCCAAGTTCCTACGTGCACCAAAAAATAGATTCAAAGATTCCATAAAGCACAACAATTTAGTTTGGACCATTTTTCAATGTTAATAAACGTCCAAAAAAGGAAAACAAATTTGTTAATTGCAGCCTACTAAACATCCAAATATTATATTTTCAACTGAAGATAACATCATTATTCAATTCAGGATACAAGACAAACAATGATTCAAATAAACATTCAATCAACAGTGCTAAGGCCATCAGAACTGATTAAATCTTACAAATTTATTCATCATGAAAGAAATTCAGCATAACAATTACAAGTAAATCTCAGATAACCATTCAATAGAGAATTACGGTACAAGAACAGCGCATTAGAAAACATAAGGTATTAAGGCCTTGACATTTCTAGGAAAATCATCAAATTTGCTGAGGTACCACTGCCTGGTCACATAGCTCCTTCCTAAAAGATAGATAATGGTGCCAAAGGTGAAAGAAAAGGAATAAACAGTCTGAGATATGAGACATATTCCAATGAAACCTATGATCTCAAAGAGATAATGAGGGCAAATCACCAATTCAAAAAGGCCTCCTTTCGGTATCTTATAAACCTTCTCACCTTTTACCCTCAGCTTGGAAAGGAGATAATGGTGATGAAAATTCCCAAAAATCCCTACCAGAAATAGAAGAACTCCTGCAATTTTCAAATCCATTGTTGGTTCGGGCAAATTTTGAGTGAGGTGCTGAGCGTAGATGGTGGTCAGGGTCGAAAAAAAATAACTTAAGGATATTGTAATGGTAGAATCAAAACCCATTTGCCCACTGTACTGGTGAATAAATAAGACCTGTAGATTTTGACCAAGTAATGGACTGTTAGTACTTCAGTAGAGATATGCAGTACTCGAATAATTTGATCGAGTGGATTTCTAAAGCAACCGCAAGTCCTCAACCTCTCTTCCTGTCTATTAAGAATGAGAAATAATCAAATAATTGTAAGCCTTTGTGCTTAAAGCAACCACTAAACTTCAACCTTCCTCCCTTTTTGTTCTATATAATGAAAAATCAATACTATCATAGACAAATCCATGAGAAATCCAAACCGATGCAATAATCGTTCGGTTAAAAGAGCCACTCACCCAAAAGGGCAGATCGAAATCGATATCAAAGCCCAAAAAAAAAAATACTGAGGATAATAAAAGCGAACGGAGTTTTCACCTCAAATACCCTCTTGGCAAAATGGATGGCGAGTGCCGCGGCGACAAGCCGTGCCCTGATACCATCAACGAGACCGTCGAAAACAAACGGTGCGGCAACAGCGTACGCCATCGCTGGAGAATAGAGGAAAAGCATCCCCGCTTTGCTCGATATAGGCTTAAAGCCGCGGCTGCGGCCACCACCGGCGTCTCCGAACTTGGAGTAACGGAGGTGCCGCCCAAAGATCTCGGAAAGGCCGGAGATCGTGAGCAACGTGAAGCTTATCATCGACATCGCCGACACGAAGATCGACGGCGGCGGCGGAAAGAGGAAATTGTTCAGAATCGACATCCTAATAATCTCTTTTCTCTGTCAAATCTCCGCCCTTTAAAGCGCAGGGCAGTATAAGCTAAGTTAAAAAGCTGAGTGGTGAAGACTGTTTTTTTACTGTGTTCTTGTTGCGTACATTCATAAAAATTAGACAATTTCTTCTTCTCTCAGGATTATAAAAATATAGCAATGAATAATAACTTTAATTTTATTACGCACCCCACAAAAATCAGCTGATTCTTCCATCCGTATTCAGCACTAATATTTTCTAGAAAAATTTCATCGGGTATTTTGAATTCTGAAGTATTTTTATCGAATGGAAAATTTTCTGGATATTGAAAAATATTACTTCAGTTTAATAAAAGCTTTGAAATATTGTTTTACACCATCTCTGGTAATTTGATAATTTTTTTAAACTATGTGTTTTGATTATGTCAGGGATTTCTGTCTATTGTACGATATTTTAAGGGTTTTCTAAATTAAGCTAAATTATGTCTGTTTGATGCAATGCATTGATGAGATGTAAATGAATATGGATATGGATATATGATTGAAATTACTGTTATATTACTGTGATACTACTATGCGTGTAAAAGACAAGTAAAGACTAGTTGAACCGTTGGTTGGAGACTTATTGACCTGTACAGGATGGTAAGCCGACGGGCTTTCCTTTAAATATAGTTTGATGTTATCCTCTACTGATTGGGAGTTATAAGGAGATGATTACTGTGCCGACGGGCAAGGAGTGGCGACTCTGTTTACTAAGCCAACGGATAATGATATAAGATACTGATACAAGATTGAAAAACACCGTAATAGCCAGGGCTTTTACTTATTGAGAATGATTATTGAAAAGCATGCATTTCATCATTGTTCTCATTACTGTATGAATTTATTACTACTATAAGGATTTTTTGATATTATACGGATTTATTGTTATTGCACGATTTCACGGTTATAGCATTACTATTCATATCACTGGATTGTTACTGATACTGATACAGACACTGATACTACTGATTCACTATACTGATATTATGTATGTGATATACCGAGCAAGTGACATGTGATTTACTAAACACGTGATGTAGATTACTGGATTGTATTTGATACACTAAGCACGTGATATTGAATAGCTGGATTTGTAAGTGTACATTTTGATACGATTCTACTGCATTGATTGATTCAAACTGTCTCTAACGATGTTATGATTTTATTTCATTGATCTGATTGTAATAGTCATTAATGATGTATTAATTTAATGCTTTATACGATTTTATACCGACTGACATTATTAACCCGATGATTCTTTATTGGTTTAACTGATATTACAGATACGATGATTTCTTCATTAATCTGACTGATATTATTGACCCGAGGATTTCTATATTGATTTGATTGATGTTATAGATACGATGATTATTGTAGAGATTTGACGCACGTACTGATTCATTGAGCTTTACGGACTTTTATACTGTTTACTATTTACTGATTCTTCTACTATCGATTATGGATTTTACTGTTTTTGTATTGATACTGGTTATGCATTGATTACTATTTCTATATTGATTTCTATTTCTGCATCGATTCAATGATCATGTGAAAGTGATTGCTATGATTTGACTGATTAACATGCATATTGCTTCTGTACCGTATTTTGATTTCAATTATAGGTATTTGGAGACCTGCTGGACTTTTTAAACTCATTATATGTGGTTAATGATTTTAGTTCAGGACAAGGGAGCAAGAGTGTGAGGTTGATCAGGGTTCTTCAGATTTTGTTCCTTTTGTTATAGTTATTCTTTTGTACTCATGATTGGATAAAAGATATGATTTATGTGTAGATCCTAAGTATTGTAAAAGACTTTTGGGAATGAATATAAATGTGAACATTGATGTTTTTAAATAATAAATTATGTTGTACTGTTTATCACTGATTGATGACTATGGATAGCTCTAGTAGTGGATTGATTTAAAGGTTGGACTGAATAATTCTTCCAAGTTAGATCATGGGGTTATGACAGTTCTACTCCTTGAATAATGAGGAAGGATTTCTCGCATATACTCTTGAAAATAACTTGAAATGAGATGATGGGTTTACATTGTCATTACTTTAAAGCATGTTTAGCTATAAAGATTCATGGATGGTGAAAATATTTCTATGCATTCTTCGAACTTGTTTCTCCTCTACTTGATTGATTTTTGTATGAAAAGTGATGTTGGCAAAGTGTTGTATATTTGGCTTGTGAGCAAGTCCATGAGTTTGGGTTAAAGCCTTGCTTGAAATTTTCGATGGCATGTAATAAAAAGGTTTGAAACTTGTTGGCAAGCTTTAAGAGTTGGTCCATGATTCTAAAGGAAATATATGTTTTGTGTTAGAAAAGTTTCAAAATTATTTTCATTGTTGGAAATTGCTTTATATTGGAAGGTTTCATAATCTCTTTTGGAAGGGTGTTTGAGATGATTGGGAGCATTTATATGTCTTTTATCTTAATGGCAAGCATGTATAGTTATTTTATAAAATGTATTTGGGAATACATTCTTTTTGGAGAAGTGGTGGATAATTCTCACATGTTTAAATATGAGCCTATACATAATTTTGGTTTGCTTCATATGGATTTTATGTTGGAGGAGCTTTTATGGAGGATTTTTGGTAGATGCATTGGTTTACCTTGAGATGGGTCTCTCTTGGAATGAACTCCTCATTTAAAGAATAGTTTTGGCACGAAAGCAAATCTGTGAGTCTAAGTTCGAAAAAAGCTTTTTAACATATTTGTTGGCATATAGCATGGTAGATTTGCTTTAGGTTGGAAAAGTTTCAAGGGTGATTTCATGTTGGAAAGTACTTCGATATGGGAAGTCTTACAAGTCATTTTATGTTGAAAGGTCATATGAGTGCTTTTTTTGCATTGAAAAGTTTTATGAAAAGCTTTTTTTTAGAAAGGGTTTTGTGAGTTGTATCCATTGGAAAAGCTTTGTGAGTTGTTTTGTGTTGAGAAGTTCTATGATATTATTTACGAATGTTTTATGACAGAAGGCTTTACAAAACTTTCTTGTTGAAAATTTTCATGAATTTATCCCACATTGACAAAGTTTGTCATTCATTTTGCACCGGAAAGAGCTATGGTGAATTTCATGTGAGAAAGGTTTTATGTATTGCTTTGCTTGAAGGTTCCATAAGTTGTTTTGGGCAATGAGAACTTTATGAATGGATTCGCATTTGAAAAGTTTGATGTCTGAAGGCTCTTTAAGCCTCCTTAAAGTGAAATAAATCTTAATGTAGTCCTCTTTCTCTTATTCACATTTGGTTCTAAATATGGGTTAAAAGAAAAGTGGAGAAATTAAGTGTGTTTGAGTTGGGAGTGGAAGAACTTGTTTGGATTTTGGTCTCGGGACTTGTTTCTTTTTTATTATTTTAAGTTTTATGTGAAAAATGACGTGGGTAGTTGTGTCGAAAATTTTGAGTGCTTTCTTGAAACTTGGGAATAATAAATAGCATCAAAATCCCCTTCCTTTCACATACATTTGGCTTAAACGTCAAATAGGAGCGAAAGATGTGTTGAAGGCATATCTACCTTTGAAAAGGCATGCCTAACAATGAGATGCTTACATACTTTTTTCTCTAAATTTGTTTCTTTCTTTTTGTATTTGTTGGAGCGTTATGTGAAAGTTATGTTGATAATCATTTTGTATTTAAGCAAATCATGTAGTTGTTGATTATTCATTGTGTTACTGTTGAACTTCATTAAACATGTTATATTAATTTTTATGTGTATGATCGAGCTTTAAGGTTATATGAATATTTCACATCAAAAGAAACTTATAATTAAATCAGAAATGTTTTGAAGAAGCTTTTTTATGTATGCTAGAAATTACATTTGTTGACCTCATTTTTGTATGAGGTCACCTGGACCAATCCTGACCCTACATTAATCCTGACCTTAGATCTTATGATCAATCTGATCCCTAGGATTCTTTTAGATCTAGGCCTTAGGATCTATTCTAGATCTTAGGACTCTTCCAGATAGATCCAGACCCTAGGATCTATTCTAGATCTTAGGACCCTTTTAGACTTCAGATCTTAGGACCTATTCTAGACCCTAAGACTCTTCTAAATCCAGACCCTGTAATCTTCTTAGGCCTTAGGAATTTCCTAGACCTAAGATCTATCCAGACCTTAAGATCAATTCAAATCCCATATCAATCTAGACTTCAAATCAATCCTGACTCTAATCCAATCCAGATTTCAATTCAATCCAATCCTTAATCAAGATCCAGACCTCAGTCCAGTTCAGAATCCAGTATTCAGCCTAGATCATACCTTTGATCTAACATCAAACCTATCCAATCAATTATGATCATTCAAATGATCATAAATGAATTAAATAGCTCAAGTTCAATCATTCAAACCCAAAATCCAGCCCAAATTCAAAAATCCAGATTCAAACTTCAAGTCCAAAGGCTTTGTCCTAAAAGCCTTTTCCACTGAATTTTCAAACACTTCAAAACCCTGTCAAATGGCCTCTGATTCAGGGTTTGTCAGTTGCATATTGATGAGACATGTCTCTAGAGGCTACCCTCCAAATTTGAGCCCATTCCTGCAACATGGGAGCTAGATGTGAAGATGATATTTTGTGATTTATGTATAAAAGAGATTGAACTTGGAAATCGACCGACAACTCACTTCAATAAAGAGGGTTGGTTGAATTTAATGAAGAATTTTAGTGAGAAAACTGGAAGAGAGTATGACAAAGTGCAGTTAAAAAATAAATGGGACCAACTAAAGAAAGATTGGAAATTGTGGAAGGATTTGAAGCGTGGGTCGACTGGATTGGGTTGGGATCCTAGGAGAAAGACTATTGATGCACCTGATGAATGGTGGAAAGAAAAACTAGAGGTAAATGTTGATTGTATATATTATTAGATATTTGACTCTTTTGAATTTTATATTATAATTTTCGATTCTTTTAAATAAATTTTGCTTTGTAGGTTGTGCCAAATGCCAAAAAATTTAGATATTGTGGCATTAATCCTGAACTCGAACATAAGCTTGATTCGATGTTCATGGGTGTCGTTGCAACTGGTGTTCATGCTTGGACTCCAAACCAAGGGATTGACCATGAAAATGTTCATGGAGATACTGAAAAACTTGATACTACTACTGATTCTTTTGAAGATCCTTCACAAAGTTTCGATAGTATTAGTGAGTGCAGCCAGTTCAAACGACCATCCTCTACAACTTCAACCGGTAGTAGGAAAAAAAAATTTGGATCTGGTTTTCTACGAAGTCAAATTACCCAGCTTGTCAATTCATGCACAAACATCAGCTCTGGAACTAATTCATCACAGTCAATAATTGAGGCACCATTGCTTTCTGCTGCCATTAAAATTCTAGAACAAACAACAGAAGCATTTGAAGATCTGCCACTTTATCTGTTCTCCACAAAGCTTCTTGAAGATCCAATTAAACGAGAAGTTTTTATGGCAATTTGTCCAGATCGAAGAGTTCAATATCTTCGTTACTGCTACGAAAATCGTGATACAACAACAGCATAGTTTCATAGATCGTTATAGTCAAGACCTTTGTAGTGCTTTTCTAGAAGTTTGTATCTAGAAATACATATGATAGTCAAGACCTTTATAGTGTCTTCAATTTTGCATTTATATTTGGGAGTCGGACTATTTTGAAATTGTTAGTTATACAAACAATTATAAGTATATATCCTGTTTGTTACCATGTCTTCAAATTAACAATGCATTCAGTTTGTTACAATGTATTCAGTTTTAGTGAAATTATGAAGCGTTAGTTTTCATGAAAGGTGTTCTCTGGCATTGCTTTTGCAGTTCAACGAATGCAATTATCAGCTCAACTAAGACACAATGGAAACATATTATTTAATACAATTATTTAAGTTTTTCTTTTGCAGTTCAACAAATGCTTCAACAAAAAATCTTTAAATTTTTTTATCTTTGGTTTTGATTTTCTTAATATCAGTTTTTCATTATAAGAATTATATAAAAGTGCTCTGGTTTTCATTATATAAAACTGCTCTGATTTTCGGACCTTCATTCGGTCTTATGGGATGAAGTTCTGCAGCAAAGCAATTATGGTTATTAGAACCGGAAGAGGATTATATATCCGAAACTGTTTGAATTTATATAGTTTTTATTATGTTTTTGTTTCTGCACAGTAAAAAAAAAACCGGAGGTGATGTATATCTGTAATGCTCTGATTATATCCATAATGCTCTGATTATGTTTTTGTTTCTGTATGGTAACAAAAAATACTGTTTGAATTTATGTTATATCATCCATATTCTTTTTTCCCGAGCCCGAGCTTAGGCATTAGCCAGTGCTTGTATGCATCTGATGGTTACAGTAGCCTGTTTTCTAACCAAATGCCCTCTCACCAATGCTTGCATCTGAGGTTTTTTTGTCAAACTGCTTGATAATTTTTTTTCATTAACACTTGATCATTCATATTGTTATATTTATGCAGGAATGGAATGTAGTGAGAATGCAAGTGAGTCACCCGATATTGTAAAACTCAAAAAAGTTATAATTGCAGCTTTATGTCTTATAAATGAATATTATGAGACATATATTCACAAGACGCCATGTATGACCTCGTCGTATAGAGGAGACAGTTGGATTGGAGAGCTACTACAAGGCCATCAAACGAGGTTTCATAATATGTTTCGTATGTCTCAAACAATTTTTGTAGATCTTTTGTATGACTTGGAAAATGTTCATGGTCTACATGGATCATCAAGGACCACTACTAGAGAAGTACTTGCGATAACCTTATATATTTTATCACATAATGAATCAATAAGGTCGACATGTGAGCGATTTCAACACTCTACCGAGACGATTAGTAGGTATTTCTCTATTGGATTGGAAGCTTTAGTGAAATTATCAAGTTTGATTATCAAGCCTATAGATCCTAGTTTTGAAAATATTCCAAGGAAGATTTTGTATGACAATCGATATATGCCATATTTCAAGGTAAATGCTATTTTTATAATCTTATATGATTTATAAATATTTATGAAATATCTAATCATTTTTTTCTCAATTAGGATTGTATAGGAGCTATCGATGGAACTCATGTGGATGCTCGTGTTTCAACTGCTGAAAAGGTGGCTTATATAGGACGATGTGGTTCAACGACGCAAAATGTTATGGCAGTTTGTGACTTCAACATGTGTTTTACTTTTGTAATGTCAGGATGGGAGGGTAGTGCACATGATAGTCGTATTTTTAAATTTGCTATACGCAATCAGCAACATCAATTTCCTATGCCACCACCAAGTAAGTATGTATTTCTCTATTGTAATTAACCACCTTACTAATTTTTTAACTAAATAATGTGCAATTACAAACAGATAAGTATTATCTTGTGGATGCTGGGTACCCGATGCAACGAGGGTTTTTGAAGCCATTTTCTGATACAAAGTATCATATTCCTGATTTTCAAAGAGGGAGTCAAATTATACGTGGAAGAAAAGAAACATTTAACAAGCGTCACTCTTCACTACGAGGTGTGATTGAGAGATCATTTGGTGTTTGGAAAAAGAAGTGGGTTATATTGCGTGATATGCCTACTTATCCATTTAAGAAGCAAGTGAAAATAGTAGTGGCTACCATGGCATTACATAATTATATACGACGTCATCCCTCTCGTGATGATCCAGAATTCAATGTTTGTGATAGGGATCAATCATATATACCTCCAGAAGCGTATGAGTATCGAATTGGTCAAACATTGTTAAATAATGAAGGAGATGAGACAAATCATGAGGCACAAGATGGCGAAGGTGCTGAGGAAATGATACAACTACGGGAGCAAATCACATCTACATTGGTTAATGAAGAAATGAATTAGAAATCATCTTAGTTTTTTTTTAATTGTTGCATGAACATTCTAGTTTTCATATGATTTGATTGTTATAGAGGTGACTTTTTATCAAGGAACATTGTAATGTTCATGCTGAAGTTCTTTAAGCAAAGAAATCTGAGATGTAATGCTGACTTCTGCGGGCAACCGCTCTATCCAAGGTAATCAATTATCGTCTCAGATTCAGTCCTGCACTCTCCTGCACTTCCTCGTTACTTGGAGATTGGCATAGAATCAATGTTGGTCTCACCCGTGCAAAGATATGATTTTTATTGATATATTGAACTTTCTGGAAGTAATTGTTTGTCAACATGAAGCACTTCAAATGAACCAGGAAAATAACCTGTTACTTCTAATCTATCCAAGACCGATTTGGTAATAGTCTAGTGCAAGAAAAACATTTCTAATATCTGAATCACTTATTTGAATTTTGTGCCGTTAATGCAAATTAGCCAGTCAATGAAAATATATTTATAGTATGCCAATCCGAGAACTAATGCTGCTGTAATGTTTATCATGCGTGTAGAAGAAGCTGATTATGGTTGAGTCTTGTGGGACTCTTTCCAACATTCAACTGTTGAAGCTTCTAATAGATAAGGTGAATGAGCTGGGTGGTGTGATGCATATTTCTAATAGTGATTTGGGCCAGTTTAAAGAGCTCAAAAAATGTCTGAACGGATTGTATAGTTTCTCTCCTATGCTTAAATTTTTTTTTCTTTCCTATTGCAATACAAAATGAAACTGTTCGTGATTGCATTTCTGGGCTTACGCAACTGAAGGCTTTTATCAAGGAACATTGTAATGTTCATGCTGGAGTTCTTTAAGATTTTTTTAGTATCAATTTTTCAAAATTTGTTTGATATATATTGAATTTGATGTGAAAAAAAAGATGAACTATGTTAACGGATTGTATAGTTTCTCTCCTATGCTTAAATTTTTTTTCTTTCCTATTGCAATATAAAAGGAAACTGTTCGTGATTGCATTTCTGGGCTTACGCAACTGAAGGCTTTTATCAAGGAACATTGTAATGTTCATGCTGGAGTTCTTTAAGATTTTTTTAGTATCAATTTTTCAAAATTTGTTTGATATATATTGAATTTGATGTGAAAAAAAAGATGAACTATGTTAATGCAAAAGTTGTTTTTATGTTTTGTTTACGTACAACTTTAATGAAAAAGAAGTTTTTATAATTTATTCTTTAATTTGCTCCCAAAGGCATTGATAATATATAAATCTGCTTTGTTTTATTTTTTAATTTTCTCTGTTATCCGCAACTTTTGATCTCTGGATCAATTGTTGATAGCCATTATGCTCATACGGGTGATCTATTAAGGGATGAAGTTGCTGCACAAGACAATACAACAACAGCAAAGCTGGAAGAGATTTTTTTTGAATTTATATAGTTTAATTTTTTTAAGAGAGACGTAGAATAGTTGTTAAAATAATAGCAGAGGTTACTGAGTCTGCAAACAACTAAGTTCAAGCCAAATTGACTGGTAGTCCGGAGACCCATGTTTTAAAATATGAGATAGTAATTATTAATTGGATATGTAGTTTATTTTAATAATACAGGGGTTTATAACGGCACTGATAAACACGTATTAATTAACAGACAACAAAATCAAAGAGCTTTAAGATTAGTTGCCATAAATGATAATGTTTATTGGACTATGTATCTAAATGGAATTATAATACATTCATTGATATGATCTATAAAAATTTGATTAATCTCACGCATTATATTTATCGTAGAACAAATACAATGATTTTGAGATTTATCATTATAATAAAATTTTAGTTGTACGATCTTAGATTTTACGAGATCGTGCTCGATTAAATATTCTGTCGACTTCATTTACCTTCTATGAGTTTATACACCTTATCTTCAAAGCAAATCTAACTAGATATGAGAGCGAAAAAATTTGATTTAAATATTCCAAGTTTTATTTTTTTTTTGTAATGATTTTAATTTGATTGAATGTGATTAAAATTGAGGCAATCAAATATATAATAATAGATTTTTTTATAATAATAAAATTTTATAGTTTGTATGTAAATTCAAAAATTCAATTATTAAACTTAACAAATTCTTTAAATATAATATTTTCACTTTTCACACATAGATCAAGTCAAAATAAATCACAATTAAATTGATTAATTCTAGAACAAAATTTTTAATCAAATGTACTGTTGAATGTAAAAATCATATTCAGATAATCATGCACCATAATCAACAATTTTTTCTAAAAATAAAAATATAAGTTTTTCTGCATGTGCTTTAATGTGATTAAGAAATTTGGGAATTATATAAATAAAATTTAAAATTTATGTGTTAAACATATTAAAATATTAAAATCTTATGGTATAGATATAAATCTCCCTTAAAATTTAGCAAATAGAAATAGAGCATCGGAAAAAAAAATTCTTTGG